TAAAAGATCATATGTTGAATCAGGAAAATCTTCTGCGCTCCTCTTCTGAAAATTAATGCTTAACACATTAAAATTTAATGTAATGTAATTAGAATATTTATAACATTAAAATTAAATCATTTGTACAATCAATTACTGTAATTTGTTTTTAAAAATTTACATATGCTAATTATGACATAACTTCTAATCAATAAAATGAATTTTCATTAAGCCATGCAAAACGATTTCAACTATACTACATTCAAATCCAAAGATAAAAAAAAATGAAATAAATAAAAGAGTGTTTCATCACTCATATGTAGTGTATAAAAAAACTAAATGTTAAAACATCAGAGAAATAACTCACTTTGAACTTCAAGTAGCTTTTATTGAAACAATCTCTTTGCCTTAAAATTGTGCAGACTTCCCTCAAATTACTTTCTTTTAAATGTGGGCAATCCATAGTAATTGATCTCTCTGAAAAGTAATTCAAAATAGTTAATATACTGAAACAAGTATATTTAAATTGCACTAATATGTTATAATATCTTTCAAAACTTTTATTAAATATAAAAAACAAACATTTCCATTTTCAAACTAATACTAAATTATATATAATATAATATTAGTATATATATTAGTAATACTACTCACTCAATAATGTAGCTAAGTTCTTTATTTTTGTTGTACCAAAGAGAGTTATTTGTTCCGCTAATGCTGTCAAATCATCAGGAGCATCAAAAAATGGATAGCATCGTGATAAAATACATAATAATATTATTCCAACTGCCCATATATCCACAGCTATTAACAAATGAAAGAAGAATAAGTTACATAGGATAAAAAACAGGTAAAAGATTAGTTACATAAATATTAATTGCACATATCAGGAACAATTTTAACTATGTTATAGATAGTGATTTTTATTCAGCTGTAATTAAGCCAATATATTGTAATAGTTTTTTTTAATAGTAATCAACTATTGAAACATACCTGTAGTTTGATCAGTATATTTAACAAGACTTCAGGTGGACGAAACCCTCTAGTTCCATTTCTATTGGCTGGAATAGGTTTTCTGCTTCTACAAATTAGACAGACACAAGACTTTCCAAGGCATTCACACATTTTTTCTGCTTTGATTTTATTTTTATTATTATTCTGAATACTAGATTTTAATGCTAGTAACGACTTTCTGCTATCTCGCAGCCTGGCATTTGTGTTATATTTAACTTTACTACTGGCTTCTACATTAGTTGACACTTTTTCTATATTCTTGCTTGACAATGAGTTTGCTATATTATTTTTTTCATTTTGCAATTTTTCCGGGATAGGAGAACTAACTTGAGTATTTGATTTTGTATCAAATAAATTTGATACGCTATTTCTTTTGGGTAAGGGAGATGTAAATGTAAATGCCTAAAAGTATATAATTCTCTTGAACAATAAATAAAACTAAATATACATATGAATTATAGCTAAATTTTAAAGATTAACACGAAATTACCTTATTTTGTTCTGAATCCATTAAATTACTTCTTAAACCCAACCTAAGCATGGTACGTCTATCATTTGATACCAAAGAGTTTCTCCTATTTTGGGTTAGGCTATTACTATTTAAATTATTTGATGGCTTTAGTGGGGACTTAATTAAGAATTTATCTAATGTCTTAGGTGTTGTAATAGTTTTATTAGTATCCAATGCTACTTTTTTCCTAACTTGTGCAGGAGATGCTTCGCCTTTGTGATCATTCTAAATAAATATAATCTCAATAATAATTATAAATGGTTATGACAGAATTAGTTTATATAAAATGCATTAAAGAAACTGACATATACCTCACAGTCACTAGCACGCTTTCTTTTATGATCAATGGTAGGAGTAAGGGGGATCAATTTTGGCATTGAAGACATTTTATCATCCGCATGATGTGCTAAACCCATATCAACTAACAAAAACCTAAAATGATAAAATGATAAAGCAAAAGTCAAATGATTTATTGATCCTCATAATTAGCAATAATTACTCTTTATTTTTTCTGTCATACAGAAAGTTATCAGGTTTAACATCACGGTGTATTATATTAAATTTATGCACTCGACATAGAGCAATCAGTAAATTTCTAAGATATAATTGGGTCTCTGCAGGTCCCATATCTAGTAAATAATTCTATAAAAAAAAAAAAAAAAAAAAAAAATTGTTTAATAACGCAATTATGATTTTACGATTATATATATATATATATAATAATTAATATTTATCTATATAATATAAAGTTCCAGCTAATAAATACAAACCGTAAAATCATCATGTTCTAGATACGGCATAACAAATACTACAGAATCCAAATTTCGCATACAGAAATGTAATTTTACTACATTGTCACACCCACTGCAAAATTGATAAATTATTAAAATGAATACAAAAATTGTCAATAGTCTTCTTAATACGGTACCCGGCTTTCTGCAAACACATCAATTCTCTTTCAATTCGCTTGGGGTGAGATGTTGGTAATAAATACTTTATTGCAAACTTTTGTCTCTCTGCAAATGCTAAATCATTCTCTGATTTTAATGTAGATAAGTAAACTGAACTAAAGGTTCCAGAACCTATGCAATTGTGTATTTCAAATATTTCATCCAGCCTTGGTAATGATTTTAACATAATTTCTATTCGTGGATCTAAAAAATTAAAATATTTTCTTCAGATTTTACATTTACTTCCTAGCAGATTCAAATTGAATTAAAAAATGATTGACTATATAAGGCATATGCTTTAGGCATATGCATATGCATACTATAAAAGGCAATGCTAGATAATAACGACATGTTTTCAACTATTAATTAATTGCATCTTTTTGCTCCCAATCTTATTAATATGGTAATGTTATAAAACTTATTTGAGGCATTTCCAAGAAATTTATAAGACAATTGTCATAATAAGGATGTTGAATTAAAATTAATTAGCTCAGAATAAAACTAATATTACTACTAAATCAAATATAAGAGTGTAAATTTTATGATTTACCATGGCTAAAGCGCTTTTCATTATCGTCTGCTGAACTAGAATATTTATCATCGTTTGCATCTTGGGAATTCACTATTAAACTCGACATTTCTAATTTATAACATGAATTGTTTTTATTAATTTAAAGTAAATATAAAAATTGCGATACGTTTATTATAAAATATATGTGACTGCATCATCTTAAGAATAAAAGCGGGAAGCAACAGATGTTTCAATGTTATTACAGAATACAGATGTTTTTGACATTTAGCGATTGTTTCTTATGTTGGCTTTCTTATCATTCCCCAGCCAAGTTCACTCTAAAAGCAAATGTCAAATTATTTGTGTAGAAACGTCAAAAACAGTTTTATTAGAAAAGTTGAATTTTATAGAATTTTTTTTTGATTTATAAATGTATTTATAGAAAATAAAATTTTAAACTATGGGTAATTCTAATATGAAACAGCATTATGAAAATGCACGAAAAACTGGTGTATTAAAGATTTCGAACAGTAAATTGAAAGAATTTCCTCCTCAGCTCAAGCCATTGAATAGTGTACTGAGATCACTTGACTTGTCTGATAACAGATTTGATGCACTGCCCTCTGATATAAGTCATTTTCAACATTTGAAACAACTAAACATAAGTTGTAATAAATTAACACATTTACCAAATGAAATCGGTCTCATTATTAAATTAGAAACTCTCAATGCCAACAACAACTTCATTAATTCCTTACCTAATTCATTGTCTAAATTAAAAAATTTAAAGCAAGTAACATTAAGTGATAATCAATTAGAATCTTTTCCTACTATGCTATGTGGTCTGAAGCATCTTGATTCTCTTGATTTATCCAGGAATAAAATATCAATGGTTCCTGATGAAGTATCAAAGTTATATGTAATGGAATTAATACTCAATCAAAATCAGATATCATTTTTATCCGATTCAATTGCTGATTGTCCTCGACTGAAAACTTTAAGACTAGAGGAAAATTGCTTACCCGTGGAACAAGTTCACCCTAAAATATTGATCGAGTCTAAAATATCTACATTGTGTCTTGATGGAAATTTATTCGATAATAAGCAGCTGCAAAATGTGGAAGGATATGAAAACTATATGGAACGATACACTGCTGTAAAAAGAAAATGTTTTAATTTAAGGTATTATTAGTAATATTGTTTTATATTTAAATTTGTTTATTATTCCATATATATTTAGTTATAAAAATATTTATTGTATATATGTAGAAATTTTGCTATTCACTTATTTATAGTCATATAATATAGGTCATGCATATTCACATTATGATTAAAAGTGTACATAACTGAGTATTGATGTTAATTTGTTATTAATAAAACTTACTTTATGGCACCTTGAACATGTGCTATTTCTTTTTATTTATTACTATTAAATATTAATCGAATTAATTATTAATTACTGTAAACATGTGATCAAAAATTTTCTAAAATATGTATAGAAATATTACCACAATCTGCCTAATTTTATAAACCTAATTTAAGACAATCTTTTCAAATAATATAAAAATAATTTATTGGTAAAGATGTGTAATAATTGTTTTATTCCACAATGGTTTAAATATTTATGTAGCTTACATTTTTGCAAAACAATATTGACTTTGTCTCGAGCTAGTGACTCGAGCATGACAATAATAATTTTGAAATTCATTTTTATATAATCAGTACATTGCTGTATGGAAAAAATCTCACAATTAAGAACATTCGTGTAACATGTGACTAGAATTGAACGTTCAATAGATCCAAGGAAATTTTTATATAATTTTGCGTTTTATAATCATAAATAACAAGGTTGGCACATTATAATAATATATTTTATAAATTATGTTGATTAGAAATATTAGAAACTTCTATAAGGTTAAATAAGAAAGTATTCCAAATCTAGTTTTATTTAAATAAATGATTGTTTTTTTTAAGATTAATAAGATATGGATGATTTATCAACAGTTTTTTAAAAATCGCAAAAAAAGGAATAAATTTAAAACTGCGGATGATGCATTGGATATCCTTGTGCTCTAAATCGTAGACTAGCAATGCTATTTGTGATACCTCCATAGTCATTTTGTAGATTATTAGTGTAATAAGGGACAACAGTCTGACTATGAGATCCATTTGCAAAACTACAAGATTGGGTCTGATAGTGATTTTGCGACTCATTTGTACTAAACCCAGGTGAATTATAATTATTATTGTAATATGGAGAAGTCTTTGCAAACATACCAGCCATCATGGTTGGATAATGATTAAAATTTGCTGTTTGAGATTTCCAATCAGAATAATGAGGAGCTATGCAATCTAATGCTTGCCGATGGTTAGGAATTGATGGGCAGGTTGAGCTGTCGTTGGTTCTCATTGGTGTCGCGGTCGGTGGTACTGGTGCGACCACCGTTTCGGGTGCAGAGGCATTGGAGCCGCGGGAAGAAAGCGCACTGCGTTCATTACGTCGAAATTTTGCTCGTCTATTTTGAAACCATACCTGAAAAAAAGATTATTAACACATCATAATATTGTCTAATATGTATTAGAAATTGTAGTGTAATTGGCATGTGAATACAACAGAATATAAAAGCGAAAAAGCTATCAGTTGGTAACGAACACTGCAATATAATTAGCAAAATGGTATAAATTTAATTTATATTTATAAGAAATGTAACCATAACATCTCAGGTTTGACGGGAGAGTACCGCATTTCTATTTTACGTTTCGGATTTTTTAGAGGCAATATTTGTCTCGAATTTGCTTTTTTTATACCGAATTCTCTCGAACTTATTTTACTACAAATATTTTTGATATTCTGAGACATATGAATCAAATCCCATTGGTCTAACATAATAAATCTTTCCCCTTTGGCATGCTGTTAGATTATCACGGTAGGTTACAGCTACCTTACTGTTAGATTACCTTATTATTAGATTTTGTTCAATTAATATTAAATACAATATTTTAAAAACCTTCAATTGTTTGTTTTGCAAAAGAACACAAAGCTATATCGAATGTGAAGAATGATCAATTTGATATCACGATGAAACCTTCATTTCCCAGTAAACACGCGATGTGATCTTCTATAATATCGACATCGTTATTATAATGCGGTTATCGAATCTACGCCACAAGAGGATTTTAAACTTGCGTGCGCTTGTGTGTGTTACAATACACGCAAAGCTCGCATTGAGTTGTCTCACGAGACATAAACACGCGCTGTCGGGGGTAATGACATCGTTGAATTTCATGTGAGATACATGTCGTGCGCTGGTGTGTGTTAGCACACATGCAAAGCATAATCAATGACGTCACACGGCGTGAAGCAAACGCGTCGTGCGCTGCGTTGTGTGCGTTGTGTGCTGGTGTGTGTGACCATACAAAGAAAGCTTTACATCAGCGCGCCGTGGCCACTGATGGAACCGACTGTTTCTTTGACGAAAGTTAACCTAACCCGCGTACAAAATGGCGCAAAATGTCACGAATTTATCATGCATCAAGTTATATTTTCTTTAGTATAATAATTACATTCGTTTAGTTAAGCAACTTGTTCATAGTGATAATTGTAGAAAAGTGTAGAAAAATGACACTGTAAGTATATCATATATTATTTATATAGATATGTAATTACTTCACGATTTTGAATTCCATTTAGTGCATTATATCCTGGGATGAAGAAACGTTATTTTATGTCGATTTCTTTAGATGACAAAGGAGGTAACCAAATAGCATATCTTACAAAATCTGAGGACAATAATAAGGATCGTTTATCAAGGTTAAAATAATTATTTTACTAAATTAAGACATTAACATATCCATGTGTTCGACATAACCTCACTTCTTAAATCTCTTAAATTAGTCGGTTGAGAAGCGGATCGAGAATGATTGTTTGAATATGTAAGTCACTACAAATATAATAGCTATACAAATATATATAAACAGCAAACACGTATGCCATGTTCATATTTATTTCAGAAGTCGTACAAAATTGGAATGAAACGATGAACAATATACAGATCTTTAGACAGGCTCAAATAATGTATGTTTAGGAGCAACTTGAAGATAATGGAGATTTATCTTCTTAATATGTAAGTTGATTCATATATAGTTGCTGTATATATATTATTTGGTAACAAATACATTATATTTATAATTGTTTTAGAAAACCTCTAAAATTGGGAACAGTATGTCATATATGCATGAACTTGATTGATGTATTGATGTATAATGAACTGAAGATATAATGAATTCAATCAGGTTAAAAAAAATGTATGTGCAAAAGCGACTCGAAACGATTTAGATTTGTCTCCTGAATATGTAAGTTGCTACACATATGGAGTGGTATATATATTATTAGATTCAATAAAACACATTATGTTTCAAATTGTTTTAGAAAACTTCCAAGAAGTACATCATATATGAATATCCTGTATCCTCGCATTTGATGTATTGAACTGGCGATAGAATGAAATCAGTCAGTGTTAAAAATGTATGTGTAAAAGCGACTTTAAGATGATGGAGATTTGTACACTGAACATGTAGGTAGCTACACATATGGTAGCTGTATATATATATTATATTATATACAGTAAATCACATTATGTTTGAATTTGTTTTAGAAAACTTCCAAAATTTGGGGCAGTATGTCATATGTGCATAATCTGTATCCTGGCATTTGATGCAATGAACTGGCGATAGAATGAAATAATGAAAAATAGGCAGGCTGTTTGATGTATAAGGAAGTGGCGATAGAATACTTATGCAACACTTCACACTTCACGCCCCAAAAATAAATTACGTTCATTAGATATACAACAATTTTCATTAAATATACTGTTATTAATATGTTAAGATTGAATAATTTGTAAAAAGTTTTCTAGTATAGTTCATGTTAAAATTTCATAATTTCAAAACTACAATTCTAATTTGTAATATTTAAATATTGTAAAATTTCTTATTATTCACGTAAATAAATGCTTATTCGTACAGAAAAGAATATTAATTGCATTACGTCATCACTTTCAGGTGCTATTACGTCATAACTGAGTCGCCATTTTGTATGACGTCATGACCGAATCGTTTTCATTCGCCAATGACGTCATGACTGGGGTGAACGCCTTACGTCAGACGGTCTTATCATAATAAACAAACATATGTGGGTCAACGTCGATTTTCATGTATCACGAACGCCACGTGCGCCAGAGACCGAACCTCGATAGTTGTTCGATAGTTACATAAATTTGCGGCCGTATCCATTAAATATCGAGGAAAATGAATATGGGAATCGCATGTCACACGACCTAAATAAAATATTGCCACGATGTTGTGGCCATATCGCATGTTTACTGGGTTCTTTAATTATTACTAGTAAATCTTCTCTAATTATTACTTGTACTCTAGCTTCGCTGAGTCCAACCCGAACCGCCAATTCTTCTCTAACAAACGCATCAGGATAATGAGTGCGTTCGAAAACGCGCTCCAGGGCAGCTAATTGACCTGCACTAAATGTCGTTCGATTTCTGCGCGGTTTTTTTGAACTGCTTCGAGGTATATTTTCAGTTCCGATTTCTGTTAAACCAGCAGGCGAAGGCTCATTGTCTTCACTTCCATCGTTGACGCTGCCGTCGGATTCGTCACCTGATAATAATTTGAATTAATTATTAATGGACCCATTTACAGAATATAGAAATGAACAATTTTTTGCATTTGAAAAAGATTGATTTTTTAAAATGTGCTCAAATTCATAAATTATATTACATTATTGCTTGAACAGTAAAGGGTGTCATATCATGAAAATATACATACAAAATTTGAAATTACTTCGACTAATATAATTAAAAGCTAGATACTATTTGCCGTATGACTTAAATACTAAGAGAATAAATATCATACCAGTGGAATAATTAGATATTCTATACTTTAGGAATTATATACTTTATACAATTAATTACTAAAACAATTTTTTCATAAGCGTTTTTTTCAAAACTCTGAAATGATGCCCAGTCTGAATTTTATTTTGAATTTATAAAGACAAACATTTGCGGCCAAACCGCAAAATGTGAAATTTGTGATTGAAAGAAAAATCTTCGAAATTCTAAAATAAATAATATAATTGATTGTTTCTCAAAATGAAATATACTGCTTGTTTTGTAGCAACCGCTGTGGTGTTACGCTAATAGCTTAGTCCTAGAAATTAATGAACCAAATACACAAAAGTAATTACCGCCGAGAAGAAAACATAAGAATTCCAAACTCAGCAATTTGTTAGATTTATTTTTATACATTTTGTGTTTGGTCAATTAACTAAGTAATTAGGACATCGCCTATAACCTATCGACAATTAAATTTTATACTAAGAACACAAATATATTAATATTATCAATTCAAATATTAAAATAAAAAAAATTTTTTTTTGATAAATATATGACATTAAATACGAAAATAGGATAATACAATAAAGAATATCAAATACGAATGGAACGAATACAAAAAAAACATTCCTTAATCCTGATATGCATATGATGCTGTACATGCTAATCAGGCAATTTTTATTCCTACCCAATTCTGATATGTTTAAAAAAATGAAAATATTTTAAAAATTCAAGATTTTAATATTTAAATAATTATACTGGAAGCGACCATATTTTTTTAAATAAATAATATTTTAAACTATTTATGGTTTGGACAAATCCAGTAATCGCGAAATTATATCAAAATTATATATAGTAATCGCAAAATTATATCAAAAGACAATTTTTATTCCTACCCAATTTTGATATGTTTAAAAAAAAATGAAAATATTTTAAAAATTCAAGATTTTATTATTTAAATAATTATACTGGAAGCGACCATATTTTTTAAAATAAACTATTTAAAATAAACTATTTATGGTTTGGACAAATCCAGTAATCGCGAAATTATATCAAAATGTATTTATTTACGCAAAGAAAAATTATATAGTATAATAGTATGTTTAAAATAAATATAATGGTATGTTTACAACATGATCTTTAATAGGAACTATAATAACTAGCACAATTAAGTAAGAAAGAGTCGCTCAGAACCTTTAGTGCTTATAATTATTCAATAATATATATTACTGCAATTATAAATATGTTGTCAAACTTATTATTCATTAAATGTCTGAATTGACCTCTCATCAGTGCATATTCTTATGAATATTATCGATCTATTATTAAAATAATTAAAACAAATAAAAATCATTTTGAAAAATAGCCTTTTTTCAGTTTCAATAAAATTCTAGTTTGATTGAAATCTTTCGAACAAATCTCATTCATCCTAGTACTCATTTATTACTACTGAGCCGCTACTTCTACTTTGCCGTAATTTCACAATTATGATGGGTTCAAACTACAAAATTTGAACATAAAATGCGAAAAATGGGATATAGAAATTGAATTTCATAATTATTGCAATCAAAAATCTGTATATAAACTGCAAATAGCAAAACCTATAGATAAAATTCAAAGGGCACAAATAAAATTTTTATATCGTTAGCTGCAAAAATATCTTGCTTAATATTTTTTAATATGTAAAATGATATTTTGAAAAGAATATTAGTAGATAAATTATTAATAATATTACTATTGAAAGTGAAAAAGTTACACTAGATACTTATAAATTCATTTTTTTATTATAATTAGTTAGCTTCTTACTATATGTTTAGTATTTCGGGGGTTAGAAAATAAGAGTTTACTTTTGTCGAATTAAATTCAATTATCTTCAATTTTATCAATTTTTGTGAAATATAATATAAGATGATTGAATGCAATATAGTAAAGGGTCCGCCATATAACTTTTTTTTATTGGTAGCAATTTAGAATTTTTTGACAGTCATTTAAAAGTTAGACAGCCATTTCAATGAAATTATTTTCGAGTATTAACCAGATGGATTGCACTTTCAAATAGAAAAGATTTAGATTGAGAAAACATTTAGTAGTTTATATATAGCATTTTCAAAAAAAAAGTTAACTGACGGACCCTATAGAAATCAAAATATCAAATCATCAAATATTTACCATCAGTTATCCTAAGATTTTTGCTGTTCTCAAGCTGCAGCAAATTATTAACAGTAAATCTTCGTGAATTTTCACATGTACTATTGGCATTCGCCACCAAAGTTTGCATTAATTCCATATTATTTCCCGAATTTTCCGCCAGTCCATTAGTTTGTAATGAATTTATCTCACGCGACGCCTGTTGATTCGGCATTGGCAGATACGCATCAGGAGGAAAACCGTAACCCAACATATTAAATATATAATTAATTTTATTTTTTAGATTTGGTAATGGTAACGATGATTTTTATGCACATAGAATCTCTTGTTTGATTAGAACAATGAAAACAAGTCTAATGGCTGAGGACTTCATAACACAATTACTTAAATTTAAATTATTAAAAAAATTGATATAAAATTATTAATGTTTGATATGCAATAAAATTTTACATTTATTATTTTATCAATAAATATTAAATGTAAATAATAACAATTTTTTTAAATATGGTAGTTTTTAAAAAAATATTATTTAGCAAAACGTATCTCCAATAATAATTTTAATTTATTCCAATTAAGCAGTTCAATTAATAGGATAGGTCACTGATGCATGATTTAGTTTTCGTTCATATGAACAATAAGAAAATTGAAAATTTTACTTTGCTATTTGCTTTAAACTTTATTTTTTAAACAATTTCTTAATAAACTTTTCAAATTCAACAATATTATCTTTGTTTATTGTGTGTTAAAATAATTTAATAACTATTTTATCTTAATCATTTAAACTTTAACGTTGTCAATTTCATTTACAGTTATCATTTTAAATTATACATAAAACCACACAATTGACAATAATCACTGCACACATTGCACAATTTATTTTGCTTTTTATAAAATCGTCCTCCAAATTAAATTCAATTTCATTATCGAACGAAAACAATTTATCAACATTAAAACAATCTCGGCGGCGTTGTTTCAAATTAAAACTGATTCATTCAACTTATTAAGTCGAATTAACGAATCGTGTTAACTAAGTTAGAGATTCAGCACTTGACTAATAGACGGTTGACAATTTCGAAATTGGAACTCTTCATTTGCCCCCACTTTTTCGAAAAATCTTTTGGGCGGATGCAAATGAGTTAATTTTAGCTCAAGTTTTACGAAAACGTTCATATGTGATGCAGGTTGTTTTCCTTCAAATACGCCCATAGGCAGATCTATTGGTCCAAGGAAAGGAAAACGGGGTGTTTAAGATGCACTAATAAATATATCAGAGTCTTATTAGATTAGGCGATGATTTCTGGTACGATTGAAATGTGGTAATCGAAATTAGTTCTAATTTCTCGTTGGCACGAAGAATAGATATTGTAAAATTTAGAGAGTTTAATTGGTAAAGACTCTGAAAATTAGATTAGGTGTTAAATTGAGATAAAGATGTTAAGCCTTGTTGGTTGAATAAATAGAAAAGATTTATCATTTCAAGATCAGATTAGCTACATTATTTTATGTGGAATTAGATATTTTGATATATGTCAACGTTAAGTAAAGCCTTGAATGAAAATTAATTACATTATCATATTAAAAAAATCTTCAGAACATAAGCGATCTATATAGGATACATTTATATAGAATATAGAATAAAAAAGATCTGGGATTAAAATTTCGCATTTTATTGACGGTTTATGCAAAAAGAAAAAATATAGGATAAAATTATTTAATTTAAATTTACCTACTCACTTTCTTAATGATTCGCTCCCTCCCTTAATGATTCTAATAATAATAAATTAATTTATTTACATATTCATTATATATATATATATATATATATATATATATTATATAATGCTCAATACAAAACAATGAATCAATTATGAAAAAGATATACATTGTAAGCATGGAAAGCCGTTTAAATGTGATTTTTGTTTTCTTATTGATTTTTACACATTATGGTAATTTATGTCAATAAAATATTTTTTTTTATGGTAAATTATTTAGTGATTTGGAACGTTTCAAAGTGGCATTTTCTTTGCCTTGGAGGTCGCACAGACTTCACATTGATAGCGATCAACTGAAAAAGCTCAAAAGCTCTCTTTGCAGATAAACTAGGTAAAATCCTCGTTTGTGATAGTTTAACATTATAATTATAAAGCCTAGCTTGTAAACAGCAGTCTTTTATTATTTTTTATTATAATTAGTTAAATACTATTATGATACTTTTCAATTTCAGAACACATTTCCAAACATATCTTCGGAAGAAGTGCTTCGAAAAATATTATATGTATTATTTAAATACTTTAGTTACGCAAAGATTAGCATATAAAATAGGGCATAAAAACCATTTAATTTTTATTTTCAATTTACTTAAGAATTAAGTATGTATATAAATTTTATATCAGGATAAATAGGGATCACTTGTGATTATAGTATGAGAAAAGCATCAAAATCAGAATTGGTTTTGATGTTTTGCATATTATTCTTAATTGATTTTATTTATCACACAAATCAAATTATTTTATATCTTTAATTTACTCTTTAATTATTTAACTCCGCCTGCAGGATGCTCTTTCAGATCGTATGGGCGGAGCGGAAAAGTTATAAATAAACATCTTTTTAACTCACACACTAAGAAATTATTTTCTTGAGTGTGAAAATGACGATGTGAAAAGATCTACTATAATATACTATTATTTAAATGTTATTTGCTGGAAAATATTTTGAAGTTTTTGCTTAGTATTTTGGGTATTCAAGGCAGCAACATTGCTTGGACAATTTGATTTACGAAATAGTGTAGTTTTGTTTATTGAGAAATACATGAAACCTAAAAAATTACAGACCTACCTACTAGGAAGAAATCTATATCAAACAAAGTAGAATGTAGATGAGTAGTAATTAAAAGACAAATGATAAAAAATTTTTGAAAAAAATTGAGGAAGAAAATATTCAGTTTTTTTTTTAAAAAAAAATCAATTGATTAAACAGATAATTGCTTTAGATACACCCACATTATGTGTGTGTATACCCACATTAATAAAAAAATAAGAAAAGGCCCAGTTCAAACTAAATATTACTTTAGGTATACTTCACTATTAAGCAAATTAATTATTTCACAAATCTCTCTATACGCAAGAAAATCAAGTATGATTAACACAATTCTAGAGTAAATATTTATTTCTGCACAAAACGAAGCCTAAACTCATTCTACATAATATTATACATTTTACATAATATTATACATTATTATATAACGTTTTCAGTTATAATATATTTGTTATATAATAATTGTTCAATTTTAACAATCATTAACAAAATGTAAAACAAATTATAAAATATTAGTTCTATATGCAAACAAAAATTATTATTCAAATAAAAATATCAATAAATTAATATTTCTGTATCTTAGGATATAAATATCATACATACATATACATACATTGTAATGCAAATCTCCAAAAGTATTATGTCGTTAAAAATTTAATTGCCCCATGGAGTATTTTCATTTTAATACAACTAATACTCGATGTAAACATAAGCTTTAACCACAGTTTTATGTTATGATTTATATTTAACCTTTTGAGTTTCGGGTGATTTTCAACAAATCGTGAATCATTTTAATGACTCTTATTTTAAGAGCGTCGCATACTGAAAATTGAGGCTCATCAAACAGGAGTTTGATTAAAAGAGAAATATTATATTCTCTTAAAAGATATTTCAAAACATACCTAAAGATATAGTTTATAAATTCTTATAAAGCTTATAGTCAAGATATATATGTATGAATTACCCTGAATTATGTAGAAATTAACGAAAAAGCCACAAGGTCTAGTCAGATTAATGTTCACAAATTGTATTCAACAAATTGCTATTTTTTAAATTGAGTTATTGCTAATTTAAATATACTTCACAACTTGCACTGATTTGAGATATAATACTTGTCCAGGTTCAAGAATAATTGTGTTTGGGCTAAACAAAAAATATTGTGTGTAGTCAAATAATTAATATTTCCAATTTATGTTCAGACTTTTTAAATCCGCAAATATCTACAAATGCCAAATATATCATAAAACATGAAATCAAACATACGTATATTATTATTTATTACATATGAATTTAATTATCATATCATACAAGTTTTTCATATAATCTAGGCCAACTTCTAAATCGCTGTTGTTAGGAATCTAGTCAGAATCCTATAAGAATCATTCAAATTCTTTGTGTTTGTAATTCCGTTATAAAACGCTTGTTTTCTTTTCGTTTCGCTAATTGAGATTTGTGTGAAATGTCTCAGAGTACAAATTAACTTGTTCAGATGTGACGCGATTTTAAAATAAAGTCTTCACATTAAGCGACTCCTTTGAAAGCTTTTGATGACTCTTTAACTAATAGAGTCAGTGATCTTTATCAGAATATCACAGTTGAAAAATTGTAAGAGAACATTTTTATAGACAGGTAAACAAAGTAAAGTAAAGTGTTTAGTTATATAATTAAGCTAATATTTCATGGCACACTATTTGTTGCCAATTTGCAGTTCTAATTTTACGTACTAAATTAGAAAAAATGTACTGATGCAAACTATTAACTCTCTGAAGGAAGTGTTTATGCTCTTGCCAGAAAATTTAATTTATACTAATATAGTAGGTTTTCGCGAGGTTTTAAGTTATTCTGATTTGTTTGACACGAAAATGCAAGAGGTCGGTGTATCAGTGTGTATGTCAGCCAGAATTTGACCTTTTATGTACATTTTGCCAGAAACTGCTTGAAAAATATTAATTAAAAACCATGGTGATTAGTTTTTGGTAAAGATGAGCCAGGCCGTTTCTTTGTACTTAATTGTGGATGTTTCTGACGATTTTGATGAAACTTTGTATGAGGATAAAGTTCATGGTTTAAAATTTAAAGTGATTCCCAAAGTGGTTCACATGGACCCCCATGGGTCCATGGCAACTTTCAAGGGGTCCATGGCAGGAAAAACAAAATTTGGGGGTCCACAAAATAAAAATGAGGGTTCACGGCATATTTACTAATGATTTAAACTTTAAATGTTAATATTGAGCGCCGAGCCAGCCACCCATCAACCTCGCATATCTCAGAAACTATTGCATGTTACAACTTTAAATTTTTTTCAAATATTAAGTAAAGTGTAGTAACAATGTGTGTCAAGTTTCATCAAAATCGCATTATGCATTTTTGAAAACGTACAATCTGTTTCAATACTAGTATTGAGAGCGGAGCCATCAGCCACCCATCGACCTGGCATAT